CGAGAATCTTTAATGGCATGGGGAGTTAAGTGGCACATCATTAGAAAGGTATTTCGATTCTCTTTACAGACCTGCTAACATTTTTGTGTTTGCGTTAAAATTAACGCCAAAAACCAGTTTAAAATGTCCGTTAAGGACAGAGTCTCCCTGCTGTAGACCAAAAGTTAACTCGACCGATTTCCGAAAGTAGGGCATTTAAAAATTTTCATCCCAACTAGAGATAAAGGTTTAACTTATGTAGTCTTACTTAACATCTTCGGAAATTCTTGGTCTACAGGTCTTTAAAGAAATCTGAATAAAAAGCTGCAATTAATAACTAGATACGGAAACAACAAAAAAGATATTTATCAGCATTTAACGAAATAAGATATTGGTTTTTAGTAGAATTTTACGGATACCTAGTTTTATTTTAGTGAAATTTCTTCATTTGCTATTTGAAATTAAATGAACCTAATTATTATGGTTTACACCACTGCAGAAAGAATTGAAATTGTCGCAACGAGTCTGCTCGGGCAGCTGCAAGAGTTTTTATTAAACGGCATCCTGGTAAGAATGTAAGACACTTATAAATTTAATGTCTAAATTCATGAAGACTGGAAACGTTTCTAACAGAAAATATGAAAAACAACATCTTGTTACTAATGAGGCTACACAGGTTGCACTTTTGGGCATGTTGCATTGGATCCGAATTCAAGCACGAGACAAATATCAGCAGCTACAGAAATTCCACGTAAAAGCCTTTAGAGGATCTTGAAAGAGGATAAATTCCATACCCTATAAGATTTATCTCGTGCAAGAGTTCAACGAAGACGATCCAGATCGCCGTGTCCATTTTTGTGAGGAGATGACTAGAAGAGTTGTGGACAATCCCCACTTTTTATATTCAACATACTTTTCTGACGAATGCACGTATCTTTCTTAATGGTCACGTGAACAGACATAATTGCAGATACTGGAGTGATGCAAATCCTGCAATTATAAGAGAACAACATACACAGAATCCTCAAAAATTGAATGTATGGCCTGGGGTTTTTGGAAATAATATTGTTGGTCCGTTTTTCCTACTTCATAACTTGACAGGTGAATCTTATTCTATTTTGCTCGAAGACAACATCTACCCTCACATTGTGGAAATAATGGAAAACGATGATCAGATACCAGAGAATGATTTTTTTTAACAGAATGGCGCTCCACCATACTATGCAGCTCCTGTGCATGACTTTTTAAATCAACATTTTGGAGCACATTGGATTGGTAGAAGAGGTTCTATTGAATGGCCCCCCAAAATTGCCAGATCTAACACCGTTAAACTTCTTTTTATGGGGTTATTTAACATATTCACCGCCAGGGCGGACACTGGTGTCCGCTGTGTGGTCGGCTCATCACGCCAGGGCGGACACCGGTGTCCGCCAGGTTTAGAGGTTGATATTTCCTCGAAAATTCTGAATTTTGTAAATGTTTTATTATACCTTATTCTTTTTAGGCCTCTAGAATGGCCTACAGATCATGGTTTTTTGAAAAAGAGTTTTGTTTAAATTTTATGGACAGCTAAACTCTAGGCGCCAGAGCGGACACATTTTTTTTCAATGGAAATGTAAACTACTTTTAACTACTAAAATTTTATTGTTTTATTGAAAAAAACATTTTAACATTCTATAGTATACAAAATAAAATATCAAAAAACTTAATGATTTTGGTTATATTATGTACAACTAGACAGTATAACTTAAGCATTTTTAACAATTCTTAAAACAAAAAAACATATCAAGAAAATGCTCGTTATTTATAACAAATAAATAAAAAAATATATTGTTTTATAGGTACACACATTTTAACATTTTTTAGTATAAAAACAAAATGGCAAAAAAAAACTTATTTATTATGGTCCTTATTAAAACATTCCACAAGGGACATAATATGTCTCGATCTGCTACTCATTGTCACTTTATGAAAAAACAAAATAGAAAAAACTTGTGACGAAAAACCACTGTCAAGTGTCTACTACGCTAATTTATGCAATACTGAGCTTAGCAAGACATTTAGCGCGATCCGCTTCGGCAAACAGACCTGTTACGACGTGTTCGCTGAGATATTTGTGTCCGCTATTGTGTCCGCTGTGGCGTGGTAAAATCGGAAAAATTTCGTCTGCCCTGGCGTGATGCGAGGGAAAAAGCTTTTTTTAGGCATGGCGCCACAACGGACACCGGTGTCCACTGAGTCGCTCTTATGGGTGGCGTGCTAGGAAGTTTTATGAAAATTGGCTTGGCGTTGAATGTGTTAAAAAATGTTATTAACAAAATGCAACTCTTTAGAATATCTTCGCCACCGGATAACTGTGGCATGTCGTGAAATAACTCCTGCAATGCTATAAAATGTTCGGAACAGTGTTGAACAAAGGTTTTATTATTGTTTGGAGGTAAATGGATTGCAATTTGTGCACTTACTTTATATAAAACTTTTCTGGCAACTTTTTTTTTTAATTTCTTTTTCTCACAATTCCAACTGGTTTTTGGCATTAATTTTAACACTTAACAAAAACATGTTAGCATCCCTGTAAAGAGAATGGAAATACCTTTCAAATGATGAGCCACTCGACCCCCATGTCATTAAAGATTCTCAAAGGGGTGGCCACCTCTTTTATGGGGATGACCATACAACCCATGAGTTAACGATCAAAAGTTGTCCCCCTCGATAACAAAATCGACGTATCTCGGGGTTTGTCGCAAAAACCTTCTTGCCAATAATATTTGAGACGGACAGTTTCTAATACGCCACACCGTATATTTGGATATTGGATAAGTTACCACATATTGGACTGAGCTCAAGGAATCCTGCGCATACCTAGGACCATTCCCAGAAGGCAACGGAAAATTTACATATCCGTAATCAAAATACCTAATCAAGTTCTATAAATGTTATAAAAAGGAGTACTAGTAATAAAAGGAGTAATAATCTTTCTTTTCATCCTACACATCGTTGCGCCTCTGTCCCCAGCCTTAAATTGATACGGTTTATCGCTGATCTAATCCTCCAAAACCTTTCACTCTCAAGTGCTTAGCTAATGTACCTACCAAGATATCATTGGTAAAATTGTCCTACTCCGTATAATAAAAGTGGTATAGTTTATCCGGAAGGTGATATACTTGCCGTTGTTACACATACATCCGCGTGTGAGTCACGCGATGCATAATAATTACTCATTCGAGACACCGTGACTACGCAAAGTAATAAATAAATTTCACTTTTGCCTCTCTGGTTACAAAGCGAATTTATTTAGTTAGAACCGAATTGTACAGAAAATAAGCTGAACATAAGTGGATCCTTGACTTATTTTATACGTGTTTCAGAATAGTGTACAATACATACGAGGGCTGTTCTCTTTTCGTTAAGCCTATCTATTAGGCGATTATATTTTTGCAACAAATTTTGTTTGACATTTCAATCCAGTTTAGTGCGTGAGAGTTGTCAAATATACCTATCTAATTGTTTGTAAGTTATATAAGTTAAACCGTAAAGAATATTTCGAGTAAATCAATCAAGTGCTTGGTAACAAGTAACAAATGATTAAGGAACACCAGCACATTACTATAAGAAACATTCCAGCAACTTTAGAGATTGGTGTGAAAGCAATTAACACTATTTTACACAAACATTTAAAAGTCCGTAAGGCCTAAGGTTCGTTCTCGGTGGATTCCCCACAACTTTATAGCTCAAAAAGAAGACCATGTGAGATGGTGCAGATCTACACTAGGTAGCTTTGACCGTAGATCGTCTAATTTATTGTACACTATCATCATATGTGATAAAACATGGTTATACCGGTAGAACCCCTGTTGGGGATAAGTGCTTTCCCCGAACATTCTTAACACATTCCTTCGACTGTAGTGGACTACTGGAGAAAGAGCATTGGTACCTTAAAATAAAATACTAGCAACGTTTAACTTTATTTATACTGTAAATCCATACTTAACCAGTGGCGGCTCGTGGGCACTAGCGGCAGTGGGGCACACACTGGAAAGGAATCCCGGGATTCGTTTTTACCTTACGAAAACAAATTCTCCATTCTTCTGGATTTTTGGCTAACGAAGTGATCGATAACCTGATTATTAAAATTTGGAATGGTCAGAATAAGTTTTTTTTTTGATGGATAACATGGCTAACGCGCACAATCGATCTTGGCACATAGTGTTCCTTAAAAATGTTTTAATACGTTTTAGTGTCGAAAAACATCTTTCACTCTCCACTGTGGTCATGGGAATTGTACACAGGATAGCAGCTCCACAGATTCCAAAAATGTATATGTCAAATTGTTCTCAAAAAAACATTTGTAATAACGGTACGACCCACTGATCTGTATTATTTTACTGGATAGGATATAGCCCCCTAAAAAACGTTCCGAAAAATTGGCCGATTTGGGCAAATAATATGGCGGACCGGATGTTATTTAACGTAACCTCTATTTCCATTTGTCATCACATTTGTCATTTAATTGTGTCAACAAGCTACGATGAGATGTTTTTATTGTGGAAAACAAAGTAAAAAGAGTATGAAATAAACAATATACGTTCATTCCTGAAGACACAATATGCTTCACGTTTCCATTTTTATATTTTCTTTCATAAAAAATCAAATCATGGGTGAAATTTCCCGAAGGACATCGCCCGCAAAAGGAATAGAAGAAGAATAAGAAGAAAAACTAATCAAATTATAGGTTAGGTATGTCAAATTATCCCAAATTTCAGTTCTGTGAACCCACCATAATTTGCCCAAATCGGCCAGCATTGCTTCACTTCCGGTGTCCTTGGTGGAACGATTTTTTAGTATGCTAAATATAGCCTATATCCTATCCAGTAAAATAATACAGATCAGTGGTACGACCCCATTGTGTTGCACAAAGTCATCTCGGGTGTAAAGTATGGACAGTTCGTTTTTGAATTTTAGGCTGTTTACGTTTGGAAATAAACAACACACAGTTTTAACGTCCTTATTTGGAAAACAACCTCGGTAGTCTTTAAATTTTTCACTATCAAATAAACTTGCAATTGTTAGGTGAGTAGTACTACTAAAACGTTCATTTATCTGCACTACTGTTGTATCACAAATTTCCTTACATATCCTTAAATTATGAATGGGGTCCTCCTTTTCAACAAACCGTCTCTTCTTGCTTGTACTTGGACCTGATTGGGTGTTGTCTTTTAAGTTTAGTTCTTGTGGGTCTTGTTGTGATTGCCATTCTTTATGAATTAGCGTGTCTATATTATTTCTAATATTTTGAATAGCTGCTGCAAAATTTGATATGTTTATCTTAACCTTGAGAGCATCGAACTGTCTACTTTGCAGTTGATCAAAAAGTATATCGCAATTTGGCATTATTTTTCTGAAGAAAAATAATCAGAAACTAAAATCTGTCTTTCAAAATTTATCAACCCTTTAGCCTGATTAATAGTTTTTTTATCGAATTCTATGTTCATAATTTCTTCGAGACATTTAATCAAATCCTCTTTATAAACATAAATAGTATTGACACACTTCGATGTAAAATTCCATGGTGTAGGAGTATTTTAAAGCATACGACTCTGAAGAAAAGGTGTTTGGCAATTTAAAATCTCCCAGCAAAAAATTTCTCTTTTATATTTTCAAATTAGAAAAAATATTTATATCTCTATTTGATAGTTAGTCAACTTAAGCCTGGAATTTCCAACGCATACCTTTTTGAGATGAGCAAAATTGAATTTGGTCATCCTTGCCAATAATTTGCGAAAATGTACACCATTATTTTTTATAAGACTCAGAATTTTTTGTACTCTTAAATATGCAAACAGAAATTTGAAATCCTCAAAAAAGTCAGACAAAACCAAAAGAAAAATAAAAATTTTGTCACATTTATAAATATTATTGATTTTTTTCATCATATTTTTGACTGCTTTATTAAAAAAAGTTATTTTTCTGTTTTATTTCTTAACTATTCCAAAGGTCCAACTAACGTTTTTTCGTAATCACAATAAATAAATTACTATCATGGTCCAACAAACGCGCACCTTAAGCCGCTGCGTACATTCGTATCTGGTCTAGGTAATCTGTGCCATGGGTAAAGCACGTCACGATGAGGAAGGTCAGCGCCCTGCTTGTGACGTATAATTCATCGCAAGTGTTCATCTCTTGCTAAGCGATATTGACGTTGTCCTTGTTTTTCGCATCATAATGAGAGGGAAAACAACAGAGGCACACATTTACTGTGCCCTGTGCCCACTTAATTTTGGAATTCTCGGAACGTTGCTCAACGCCCGGTCGTCCAGTGTCGGGCCAACGCGGTTTGCGCTGAATATTTAATAAAATAATAATAGGCATTGAGGAAAGTATAAAATATGTAAGTTATTTTTTGTTTATTATACTAGGGCACGTGCCCAAGTGCCCTTACGGGCAAACCGCCACTGTACTTAACAACTTTTTTAATCACAACAGTAAACATATTTACAATCTTAGTAAATCACATTTAATTAAGAAATTTAACCACAGCTAGTGTGTATTTTTGAAATTTTTATAATAAAATTACAACATGGCAACCTGACGCCTAGTTAAAAGAACTAGTAAAAAAGTAATGACGATGTTGTTCGGTTGAGTGAGGAGTAGCTTCTAAATTGTGCTGGTGACGCGAAGCCACGCTCAATGAGATCTTCGCGTAGAGTCGCTTCGGTTTCTAACCAATCACCTGAAAGGAAACGTCGACATGATAGATTTCTACTGGCCACTTGTCCTGTGACGAGAATGACGTAACATCTTTGAGACATTTATATAAGTGCCAGAGTCGGCTTAGTTTTTTGTGTTTTTTATTCAAATATATTTTGTTCTGTGTTTTGATTTAAATATATTATGTTGAATGATTATTCAACAATCCCAAAAGTCATTTCGAGAATGAGTCGGCTCCAACAAAAGTTGTTTATAAAAAAGCCTAAACAAAAATATGGTCGCCACTTTTTTTTGGAATAACTGGGCATACTTTCACTGAAGCACTGAAGAATGAACGTACTTTTAATTCAGAATGGTACACTGCAGTTTGTTTGTCTTATGTTCTCCAAAAGCTTCGCGGAAAACGACCAAGAGAAAGGATCATTTTTTTATTAAGAAAACGTCCAAAATGTCCAAAACGCAAAAAATTATTGAAAGTCAAAAGGTCGAAGGGAAAAAGTATCGAATTAAATTGATCGAAATTTTAAATACTTTTATCTCTCTTGTATATAGCCATATAGTCATTTTGAGGCTTAGTAGACCCCAATTTTTCCCAAATTCTTCTACAGCTTACGAGTTTTTTTGAGATGTTGTTTCCACGTCAGCCTTTGGTCGAATATAACTCCGAAATATTTGGTTTCTGTGACAAATGGAATAATCATTTTGTTTAGTACTAGTGGTCTTACTCCAGTAGGTACCCGTTTATTTGTGAATGGTGAAACTGTTGTTTTTTGTGCGATAATGGACAATTGCTACTTTTTGCACCAGTTATTCACTATGTTTAAAGCTGTTTGAGATCGCTCCGAGACTGTGCCTGTAAATCGCCTCCTGACGATAATTGCTGGGTCGTCTGCATATCCTAGGCACTGGTAGCCTTTCGTTGGACAATGTTTTAGTAAGTTGTCCACTAAAACTGACCATAGCATTAGAGATAATATTTCTTCTTGTGGACAGCCCCGTGTAACTTTTGCCTGTACAAATCTCCGGGGCCGGATGGAATATATCCAATTTTGCTCCAGAAGGGTAAGGATGTGTTAATGTCACATCTATGCAAAATCGTTGGAGCATACATTGCCTGAGATATATCCCAGAAATACGGCAAAAGGCGAAAGTAGTATACCTTGCCAAAGAAGGTAGGGTAACATACCAAACGCCAAAGTCATATCGCATATCGCTTTATAAGTCTGTCCTCCTGCTTACTAAAAACTATAGAAAAATTGATATACAAGCATGTCAAGGACGAGATACTAAAAAAAATCCGCTCCATCCCAACCAATATGCATACCAGCCAAAAAAGTCAACTGACCTAGCGCTGGACGATCTAAACAGGCTCCTTTCAAAGTCAATAGATGACAAGGAATTCACAATAGCCACTTTCTTAGATATCGAATGAGCTTTTCAACCAAGTCAATAACGAATGCCCTAGAACAGAGAAATGTCCCAGTGACAATATGGCACCGGATCACTGTCAATTTAGAGAACAAGATCATTTTATCCACTCTAGATGAAATTGTTGATAGCCCAACTAATCCTGTGTGGTCTTGTAATCTCAAAGACCAACTTCCAGTCTAGTGGAGCTGGTCTGATCTCCTTTTAACTGTAGCTCTCTTGGTGTCCTTAATCTAGACCTGTTAGGATAGTTGAGGCCGGAAAGTGCACCTAAGTTAGTACCTCTAGATTTTCCTCTAGTATCGTAAAGTAGGTATCATCCTTTTGTTTCAGGAATCCTACTTGACTAGATGTATTGTCTGTGACTATAACTCCGTGGACTCCAGCGCTTACAGTGTATACTCTGTTAGCCTATTTTTATAGGTAGTCTAGATTTGGCTCTCACCTCGTCTCTTAGGCTATCTAGGTATTTATACCACATGATTCGTTTGGCACCTCTCTTTTTCGGGGCAGTTTTATTGGTAGGCATTAGTAATTGCTCTGTTTATCAACTCCACTGTCCTCTTGATTTTTTGTTTCTCGTACATTGGTGGGTTTCTAAACCTGTCTGGTATACGAGTTGGACATTGTATATGGAATCGGATATCTCTGTGATCCAAATACGATGTTTCGAAGCAAATTATCACGTTCTACACGTGCTTGCAACCTATTGTAATGTTCTGCGGCAATTTGTACAAGTCTTCTTGACAACTAAGGCGTATATTCTGGTATGGTGATTGTTTGGTGATACCTGTTAATTAGTGCACACCCAATTTTTAAAAGATTTTTCAAATGCCCACAATTATCCAATTAAATTGTATTTTTAAAAAAATTTAAGATATTTTTTAGATGGCCATTTCTAGATTCCACAATCCGTCTCGTTTTTATAATCAGTCGTGCCCTATTCGCCTCTTCTACCGTAAACTGCTGCTGACCTCGAGGTAGGTAAGGAGGAATTTCGCAACAAAGACCCAGATTTTCCAGAAATTCAACTACATCTCTATATCCCCGATTTACAACAAATATGTCTCCTTCGTTGACCCAGCTTCGTAAATTGTTTATATCTTGTTGCATATCGTTAATCAAAATTGATGCGTCATTGTTATGTGAATCACAAAATGTACGCCAACAATAGAACTGTAAAGTGCTACAACAAGTCCAGCTTTAACTAAATTATATTTTTATGGATTAAAAATGATTGCCTTTGTATTCTGAAATTGTAACATTTTGGTATTTTTAAATAAGTACAGTCTGGATACAAAATTACTTGAGGAATTTCTGGATTGGCATTATACAAAATATTAGAAACTTCATTCACATGTCTTTGGAAAAAAAGTTCGCGATTTCTAACATCTTTACACTGGACACCAATATTTTCTGGTACAAATCTTGTGATTAAACTGATCGTGACCAGTAATATTTTGTTACTGACATTTTGTCTTGATGAGTAACCAAACATGGACGCAATGAATACATCCGACAGACCTTGACGTAATTTCATTAAAAAGGCCAATAAATCTCTCTTCTTTATCTTTCTATGATTTCCATAAAGAACAACGGGATCACAATATGTATATAAATCTCTAAATTTTCCCTTCGACAGAGACAAATTCTGTATCTTCAAAATTATCTTCATGGCTGTATCTATTTCTTAAAATATTTGATGAGTAATCGTTCATTTTTGAAAACCATAGGGCAATTTCCTTTCCTTTCCTTCCATAATGAAGCAAGGAATGGTAATGTGATTTAAAAAAAAAATAGGGTTGAATTACAGCAGTATCGTGTAAATGGCGATCACAACACATAGTATTACTTTGTATAAATACCTTAGTTTTCATTTAAAAATCTAGCCTTGCCTCGAAAGGTAATCTATCTCGATTTCTTCTTCTACATATAAAACATTTGTTCGGAAATTTATAAGCAAGTAGTTCAATGGGGCCTATTGCTTTTGGATCTTGTGCTAATTGACAAACTGTACGTATTATTTTAATGTATAATTAATCTCAGTAAGTAAAATATACTGACAATTAGTTTGACAGAATTGTCACTTATTTAAAATTTTAAAAATAATATTTACATTTTTTGCAGTTTTCTCACTACCTAAAATGGATATGAAATATATTCGTTCAGTTGAACGCCATAGCATATTTTTTCATTTTTTAGTCTGTTAGAAAAATATTTTCAATCTTCTCTTTATACTTAATCGGTCAATATTC